GTTTTTAACAAGAAATCCAGCTGAATCCTGTTTATTCGGACATACCATATTAAAACACGTATTTTCTTACAAGACAAAGAAAAAACATGTTATTGATTGAAATAATTACAATAAACATGTAGAGAAGAGAGACTAAAGACAACAGCAGAAGAAATGTGCTCAGTTTGTACTCCAGCAGTCTAAATCTATAGCAGCAGAAATGAAGAATAATTATGGAAACCTAAGTCTAACTATATGATTTTTGTAAAGAGTGCTTTATCATTAAACAATTCCTTTTATAGTACTGCAATGGATTTTACTTTTTTTGCTCTTAAGTAATTTATATGAGACTTCTAAGTCAAATTTTCATCAGTGATGACACCCAAGAACTTAACCTCACTGACTCTAGTAGTCTCAACACTCTTGACTCTAAATGAAAGATTGACCGTTCATTACTGAATATCATAATTAGTTTTGTCTAAACTTAATCATAATTTAGTAAGCTTAAACCAGTCTTGTGTTTTTGCAAATTCTGTTTGCATCATTTCAATCATTTGCTCTAATTTTTTACTCAAACAAAAAAAATGTGGTATCATCTGCAAACAAAACACATTTAAACAACCCTAACTCATTTACCAAATCATTTACATATAAAAGAAACAACTTTAGTCCAAGCACAGAACCGTGTGGAACTTTGCATATAATATCACCAAAGCTAGATCTTACATCATTTATTTGAACAAATTGTTTCCTGTTTGTCAGATAACTTGATACCCACTGTAAAACTGGACCTCTCATATTTATAGGTTCTTAATTAATATTGGCCTGTTCAAAGGTAACACATAATTAAAAGGGACAGAGGTAGGCCTGTCATAAATATTGCATCATAATTAAGTTTTAATGAAACTGTCCTAATGCCCAATGATTTTCAAACAGCTGCTGATTGTGTTTACCGGTAGGTGAATTTCATTGTGGAGTTAGAAACAGCTTTCTGCTGCACTGACTGAAGGTCCTCCACGGACACAGAGGAGCCTGCAGGAAATTTTCTCACCTCACGGTAGAAAAAGTTGGCAGGCCGACAGCTGAGAGGAGATGTGCCAACAGAAAAKATGAAGACAGATGGGACAAACATGCAAAGGCTTCCTCTCACTGGGGGTAGAGTGAGAAAAAAAACTCAATTAAAAAAACAGAAAGAAAAAACTAAACACAGCTAAAACAATATAATACTCGCACCATCAGAAGACAATAACTCACGTTACAGACGTGATGTGAGTATGAAGCTGGTATTTGTTCATGCTTCCTCCCTTTTCCATCACATCACACCCCCACCGTGCTGCAGGATCTGAACACCTGTTTCATTGTGGAGCTAGAAAATAAAACAGCTCCTGTGCCAACCTGAGAGACGTCTTTCAGCTCTTCACTGTTTGGAGTTAGAAAGCAGTTTGGTTTCTTTCTGGGGAATGGTCTGAATTCTTACGGAAATTTTTTAACTAGGATTTTACACTCAGAAAGTCAGCTAAATGATAAAAATGTGTTAGTGATGTTTCTTAACTTTTTATTTTGCACTTCATGCCCCATAAGTGAGTAGTTATTTGAATGTTTCCTCTAAGCAGGGTTTACACATATTTTGTCAAATTTTGAAAGTTATTAAAGATTGCACATCAATGTTGTGGTTGAGCAACTTCTGCTGAACACAAAGACAAGAGTAAGGAGACAAACATCATTTTGCAGCATCTTTATTGAATATATTTCAGGCATGAGAGGTGATATATTTTTCCACCTCAGCATGTAAATCACAACATTTTTATTTAGCATCAGCGTTGTTGGCAGCTGTAGAGCATCTTGATCCTTGTGATGTCCCAGCTGGACAGTCCATTCCTCTGGCCAATTGGAGTGTTGGGGTTGGGGATGGGGGTGATGGTGTACCTTCCGGGGCCGATGGAGAAGGCATCTCTTCCATAGTGCATGACGGAGCTATAGTCGTAGGGAGTGTTCAGGTTGTTGGTGTCATGCTTCTCAAAGTTATAGGCGGTTGAAGGGATGATGTTCTCATAGTTGATCCTGACGTAATAGTCACGGTCGCTCCTGGTCTGCTCGTGCTGGAAGCCCAGAACGTGGTTCAGCTCATGCTGGGCGATTCCACCGTAGATGCATCCCGCCTTGTTGAGCGACAGCTCCTGCATTCCTCCTGTTCTGCCCAGTGCAGAGTAACACCCAGTTTTGCTCACAATCATGACGAAGTCGTTCTCATTAGTGCGAGGGATGAAGCGGATGCAGGTCTGGCTAGCGAAGGCCCCCATGGCACCCTGGATTACCTGCCTCTCGTAACCACCAAACTCATTGCCTATGACGTAGGGGATCATCACTAAGCCGTTGAGGGATTTTCTCCACAGGCAGCTGTTGTAGTAGCACTTCATGGCATTTCTGGATGTGGGAGCCACCATGTCTCCTTCCACAAACATTACGTCTGAATTGTTATTAGCGACCAGAATCCTGGTAGAGATGTCCACATGGTCTTCTTTTTCTTCTTCATTATCGTATACATCATGGTTCCCATCTTTATCTTCATCCCCATTATTGTCTCCATCATGGTCTTGTTGTTTTTCTTCATCATC